CTTCCTTCCTTCCTTCCTTCCTTCCTTCCTTCCTTCCTCACACTGACCCCTGGGGGTTGCTATCCCAAATCCTCTTGCTCCGATGACCTCCGGGGCCCTGATGAGGACTGACCCCTGGGGGTTGCTATCCCAAATCCTCTGGCTGTGATGACCTCCGGGGCCCTGATGAGGTTGCAGTGCCTGGCAGCAGCCAGCTCCTGTGACACCGATTCCCCAATGAAGGCGTAGTTGGAGTCCAGCACCCGCTGGATGGCCTCCTGGTAAGTCTTCACTAGGACGTAGTCTCTTCTCTTCTCCATGTATTCGTAGATCAGCTGATGAACAGGATTCTTGGAGTTCTGCAATGACAGAATACTTGCAACACCTTATACTCCATTGGGGATATTAAATATACAAAACATTCCCCCCCCAACAAAACGCTGGCGTACACTTCATGCCTGCAGCCTTTTTGTTCATAATCCTCACCATATAGCCCTGATGACTAACACCACTGGCTTAGTAGAAAAGGAGCAGTGACGTGCACAGGTAGATGCCCTTCGTTACTGCCATTGCTGTCCACCATGAGGAGGCAGCTACCCAGCTCGCTACACGAGGGGCCTGTCATGTATAAATGGGGCAGGGACACGTTCACCTTGAAGAAGTGGTAGGTGGAGGAGCCGTCCAGTGTCCCGAACTCGAGCTCCCTTTGCTTCACCAGGTCCTCGAAGGTCTGGATGGGGAGCTGCTCACTGCCCGCGCTCAGCAGCGCCGTGAAGTTGGCGATGTAGGCAGCCACCAGGGCGAGGGTGAAGAGCCACCAGATGGCAGCAATGACCCGCACGGAGAGCGCTTTGGGACGAGGGGTGACACCTGCACCAGCGGAGGAGGCAAGAAAAAGTAGGGGAGAGAGACCACAAACATCAGCTCCATGAGCCTGACCTGCACCTGTGCAAAACCCACCCCCAGATATGAAGCAGCATCAGCAGACAGATGCAAAGAGCTCCTCTCCCAAGAACCAGGGCGATGCTCATCCAAACATGTCCTGGAGCAATGTTCGCAGCAAAAACAAATACCCGTCCTCAGCTGAAGCCAGGCAAATGCAAATTCCAGCAAGCACTACTCAAAATACACCCCACCAGATGCAAAGAGCTCACTCTCCCAAGGAGCAGTGTGATGCTCGTCCAAACATGTCCTGGAGCAATGGTCGCAGCAAAACAAATACCGGTCCTCAGCTGAAGCCAGGCAAATGCAAATTCCAGCAAGCACTACTCAAAATACACCCCAAATTGGGAGTTTTGGTGCTGCCACGGGGCCCAGTTAGAATGACTCCTGCAAAAGGACCCTGCTAGAGAGCACAGGCCGCGCCGTGCAGCCAGCCCGGAGCTGCTCCGCATGCCCCTCTTCTCAGCCCTCCTCGCCTCACTGGCCTAAGTGCTCTGCAACCTGTCCCAGGTTTGCCAGCTGTTTTCTTCCTGAACCTTTGCATAACAGAGCTCTGCTCCTTCATAACCAGCTACTCTCAGAGCTCGCTAATCTGACACGACCTAAGCATTTGGAGCTCTACTTCTGGCCTTGCCCGGAGGATTCCTCTATGCAAGATGTACACCAGCACCTCCTTTAGTGCTGCTGTATCTTTGTAACTGGGAAAGCAGTTGACCCGAGAAAACACTGTGAAAAAAATAAAATAAAATAAATCATTTTTACCTGGCAACAAGACAGAGGCAGAGGCACGTGAGCACATAAGCAAATAACAGGCCGGTCCATGTTTCTTTACTGAAGGGAGCCAGGAAGTGGAAGAGAGGCCTCTCCTGCGAGACGCTATCCTTGCGAAGCAGGATTCCGATCCCTGTCTGCAGGAACGGGGTGGTGAAGGAGACCACTTCTTCCCTTGCTGATGTGACCGTCAAGGGAGCCACTGCGATGTCTGCTTCCTGCAGGACAGGGAAAAAACAGTTGTCATCCAATGCCCTTCATTTCCATCACAGATGGAGTACTTCCCAGGCTCAATGGGCAGATATCTACGTGCTCATGCAGGGAGATTACTGGGACACGAAGAAGGTAACGAAAGGTGAGCACTCTCTGCTTTGTGATGAGCATTGATGTAGACTTTTAAAAATTGTTGAATAAAAGCCGTAGCATCCTTCTACTTACTGGTAAGTAATGGGCTCATCTCAAGAAAAGTTCACCTAAGAGTTAAACTGAAGGCAAATTCAGTTGAAGAGAAAACTAACTGCAAGTCCCTTGCTAGTCATCAATTTTATGCTAAAAAAAAAAAAAAGACAGTTAGTCCCTGAGCAAATTCTACTGAAGCCCACGAGCCTGCTAGAATAGATCCTCCCTTGTTACAGCTGCAGTTACTCAAATATTCAAGCAAAAAATTACCTGTCTTATGATCTCGCCAATCATCCCTGTCCAGTTGCCTTTGGAAGAAATGGCTCCATACTGCCCATCGCTCACCACCTTCACCTTGTAGCTGAAGTGAAGCATTGCAGCAAGTGCTTTCAGCAGATCGATGCAGTATCCCTCCAGTTCTGTGCTTCTCACCATGACATATGGATCTTCCTGCACAGAGACAGAAACACATACATGGAACTACAAAGTCTCAATGGTCTCCAGTGCAACTGCTGGTAAAAGTAAGCCCTAGACCAGTCCTCCCATTAACATGGGGATGACATTTCTGAACCTACAAGGCATCCACTGGAGTCACGAGTCACTAGTCCTCCAGCAGGGAAGGGAAGCTGAATTCTGCAAGTCACCCTACCAGAGAAGCAACTGATAATCTTATCTCAGTCTCAATTTCATTTGATCCAATAAAACATTAGCAAACTACTATTTAGTACAAAGAGCTTGTATCTCCACAACATTGGGCAAGCACTCTAAAAATATTTATGTGATAAAGAGGAGTGTCAGTGTCACAGTCAAAAAAGTACCTCCAAATATATGTGTGGAACATGAAAAATGAGGTATAATCCCTGCCACTGTCAGTGTTGTGTCACTCTGCCTTACCAGGATTGTGGTGACAGTCAAGGTTGGAAGATCCTCTTCTGGCCTTTCTGTGTCAGGGCCCTGCAGGTCAAAAAAATGAAGGAGAAATAATTGGATTTTGCATGTCCCAGACATGGCCCCACTGAGTTGAGGTTTACATTATCATCATACTTTGGAGCTTTTTTTATAAAACACCTAAATTTGCCCCTGAACTCTGTAACAGTTCCTCTCCCCACTGCTCTACCTCCTTCATGCATTGCTGTTCCCTAACAGTAATTAATAACTTGTTAGTATTTCATTTGATTGTATGTTGCCAGCATACTTTGTCCAAAAGGAAATCACTTTAAATGTTGACATATTTATTCAGATACACAGTGCATGCAGTCTTCCAAGGAGATTAATTTATGATGCAGAAAAAACAGCTAGCAGCCAATTAAGGCCTCATTAGAGAGCAATTCCTGCAGACACAGAACATCAGGGAACATGAAATGAAGAGGAGAAGACACAGGGATTCCTCCTGCATGAAATGCTGGATTAAAAAAACAAAACAAAACAAAAAAAACAAAAGAAATCATCCAACCTCGCAACTTCAGAATAAAAATAAAATTAAATTTAAAGTTGCCTAATTCTGTAAGCTATGGTGGTCTTAAGCATATCCCTTTTCTAAAAACCATCAGCTAGATTTCTGGACAGGGCGAGAGAGCCTGTGCGCTGCTGCAAGGTCTGCAGAAGAAGTTCAGCTCCGGCGTGAGCTGAACAGACCGATTCCAAGTCTCTCTTTGGAGCGAAGGGACTTTGAAGGATGAGCTTTGTCGCTGAAGCTGCGGCCTGAAGTTACCTAACAGAGGGTGTTCTGGAGGGTGTTGTTATTGTCAGAAGAGCCACAATTTGCTGTTAGACAAAAGTCAAGAAAAAAGAAATCACTTCTATCCAGGCCATTAGGACAATTCCATTCACTTCCCTATGGTGCCATGACCCGGCCACCCAGCATCTCTGCTGCATTGTTTTCAGAACAGACACTATCCTGCCCCTTGTGAACAGCTACTTGCTGGAGCAGGTTAGATCTTAAGTAAAATGTGCCATCTTCCTTCTAAAGTCTGAGGAAGTTTGTCACAAAAATATATCTCTATGTTTAAAGCAAATCTGGGGAACTTAAAAACACATTTTAACAACTAAAAACTGTATCTCCATATATGCTCATGTATGTCTCCGTGTATTGTCAATGCTAAGGAGTTTATAGTGATCACAAGCAAAAGAATAATTCTGAGATTTAAACTCTATAGCCACGACACCAGGCAGGGGTAAAGACAGATTCTACATTGGAGCAGGACTGAATTTTGAATATTGAAAGAAAAAAGAAAACAAAACAGACACAGACAGGCTGAGAAACAACAATGAAAAATACATTCAAATATCATAGCTCTTTGCAGGTTAAAAGCATTTTAAAATGTAAGATTTCCTCACGTGTGTCTTCATGGATACCTCTGCACCAATATTCTTAGACATACCTTACTCAGAGCATCATCATTCTTGCTAGCTCCTGAAAAAACAACAAAAATGAACCTCATGCAAGGCTTACATTTACAGCTCATTGATAGAAAAGTGTCACTAAGAGGTTTCACATTGAACTTTCACAAACAGAACGATTATCCTTGACTCAAAAGCTCATAGTGCAGGTGAGTCACAGCAATTCTCTCACATTTGCTTCCTCATTCACAGAGCAGTATTAGTGTGAAGAAAGCAAAAAAAAATAAAAAAATAAAAATAAAAAGCCAAAATTTAGACCTCAGAAGCTCCTAATTGCAACTTCATTATTATGGCTCTTGCTCAGGCATTGAAGAGTGGATTCTGAAGAATTGCAACTTTTTGACCCCCATCAGGATGAAAAGGCAGCTGTCCTGCTACTTCACCACACCAAAATTCCCCCCAGATTCCTGCAACACCTTCCCTTCACCCCTAAGGAAAAGAGTTCATCACCATTAAATTCATTTATTTGCTTTTCTACTTTTCTCTTCCCCTACTGATGATGAATTCATCTTGTCAAAGCAGGAAAACGAGAATATCCTGCAAGCGCAGGACAGAAACCCTCCTCTACCATGTACTAGAGGCCAGAGACACTGGCGACTCTGCTGTCAAATCTGCCACTGCCCTGCTTCATATTACTTCTCCCTCCGTCTTTCTCAGTCTCCAATTTGTAAAACACAGATAATGATACCTTCCTCTTGGGTAAAAACTAGACGATTCACTCATAAACGTATTATTATTGAGGTTAACCATGCTTCTACTTTTATTTGCTGTTCTGATGCAAAACTTGCCATGGTGAATGATTTGATCCCTGGCCTTCCTCTCATAACATTTGGAAGACTACCTCACCTCCCACCCGGACCCCAGGAGAGCTATACTAAAATACAGAGTGAATGAAATGCAGAATTAACCAAAATTATGTCAATATATAACTCATCCAGAATGTTTTTTTTTTCCCTAGAATGTTTACATATATTAGAGTCAAAGAATTAACTGTCTAAAAGCAGAAGGTCAATCTCCCCCAAGCAAAAGCTTTTAGAGTTTTTTCATTAACTATAATAGCATAATCATTCATTATGTATCATTCATTCTTCAATTCTGCATTTTCTGGTGTTTTGCTGAACACTATTGTAAAACAAAAACCTGTTTTTTTCCCCTCTCCCCTACTGCTCTCCATGGGAGCTGGGAACCTTCACAAAGGCCTTCTCTTGCCTCCTTTTGGAAGGGCCCTAGAGGCAGTGAGAGCTGGCTCCTTCCCGAGGGCCTGCTAGGGCCTCCTGCAAGAAAACACTTTGTACCGAGGCCTGAGCTCCCCCACGGTGGCCCTGGACGCAGCTGTTCAAAGCTGCATTGTGAGAACCACCAGCTCCTGAAAGGACCATGAGTAATCAGGTTGTGGCACTAACTCGAGGTTCAAGGCAGGCCATTGCTCAGAAGCCAAGTACATATTGTGAGAATCCTTTGGGAAAGCCCATAAAAACATAACACAAAGGAAAGGGACTCATCCCTCCCCACTCTCATCCCCCAGACTCCTGTGGCTGCAGGAAATAATTTTGCAAGCCAAAGAGCAGCCTTGTCCTTCCCTCTTCTGCAGGGCGTTTGCACAGAACCAGGCTTTTAATGATGACTTTGGTCTTAATCAAATCTAAAGCCACATTCCTGCACTAAGACAGAATGTGGTGGGTACTAAGAATTAAAGGATCAAAGAATTAAGACACTGAAAGAAAGAAAAAAACCACCTTCGGATGCAGCCAGCATTGCTGGATCAAGAGCTGCTCTCACCTGCATGGCTGGATTCTCTTAGGAGCACCACGGTTGTCACCACACAGAACATGAAGCGAAGACCTTTGGCCATTGGAACAGAAGTAATTGGTGCCTAGAAGGGACTTCGTGCTAGGGATGAAAGGCGAGCAGTTAAAGCCAGTTTTATGGTTCATTTGTGCTAGGTAAATTGTGAGGATGTCTGGGATATTCTGCGTTCATTCTGGGCAATCCCAATTCAAACAGAGATCTCCAGGTGAAAGCACAGTCACTTCTGACACCAGGCATAACAAACACCAAGGGATTTGGGCACCAAAAAGGATGCCACAAACCCGTAAAGTGACGTTTGTCTTCCAGTCATCCCTTTGCTAAGGAGAGGCCAGGCCACCCCAGGTGCCAGGCACACACACCGTGCGGGCACCAGATGAAGGAAGCTCGTACAGGAGCTGCTGCTGAAGCTCGAGTGCTTTTGGCCTTGCTCAGGGTTGCCGTGATCCATAAGATCATCCCCCAGTGCAGAACACAGACAGGCCGGTAGCTACTGTCCCTGCTGCCAGAACAGCACAGGAGCTGAGCAGCTAGAGCAGCTACCAGCGCACATAAAAGTGTCGGTAATCAGACTGAATCACCCAGGAACTGCTTATTCTCCAAAAAATAACCTGAATATTACTGCTATTTTTGTCCTTAAAATTAAGCATACACAACAAAATGTTTTATTATTTCAAGTGACCTCCTCTGGGAGAGGGGAAAAAGAGAGAGAGAGAGAGAGAGAGAATCAGCTGGTAATAAAATCTTTGCATTATCCTGAAAAACAGATTTTTTTTAAAAAAACACGCTAGTTGGCTGGTTGTCAAGAACTGGTACACCCTATTATGTGTGGGGGGGGGGAAAGAAATTTTGTAAAGGCAAATACACTTCCCTAACTGTAATGCAGTATTAGAATCATTTAAAGACAAAGAGAACCAATTAAAGAGAGAATAAGGAGGGTGAGGGGCAGTGCCTCACAGTGGGTACAGAGCTCCATAGCTACTACTTACATTAACCCTCGCAATCCCCATTCACCATCTCCCTGCACAAGTACTAGGAAAATTTCTCATGTTGGCTTTGCAGCAAGAAACCCCCTAAAAATCCAAACAAACAAAAACTCCACTAACCTAAACTGTCAACACCACTACTCCTCAACCGGTTTTCTGCATCCCTCACTGAATGAAGCATCAGTATCAAACAAGGCAATGGAAAAGAGCAGCCATCAGTCAGGAAGGAGACAGCTTGTTGCACACCGGGTTTAGTCCTGGCCAGCTAGAACAAGAACAGCAACAATTCAAGGGAGCATCTCACTTACAGCAACTCCTTTAGCCACTCCTAGCTTGGGCTGGGGACCAGCAGAAGAAACGGGAGAACAGGCAAATGCAAATGCTGAAGAGTTGAGTGTTCACAGGGATTCATTCACACCGCTATAAGGGTGAAAGGGAGGGAGGAGCTGGGCTAAGGACTCCAGCACTGCCCACTCCAGTGGGTTTTTTCACTCCCAGAGAGGAGAAAACTTATGGAAGCAGCTTTGTTCAGCAGCTGAACACTACTGTATTGAGACTCAGAAAAATTGAATTCTATTAATGACCTAATGTGCAGCTTTATAAAAATCCTCTTCCTATAGCACTGTGTCTTACCTGCCCGCACCCGTCTCTCTTGATCCTGTAAGGTACTTAAGGAAAAGGCTTTCTCTGCTCTGTGGTCATCTCAGGAGATGGCTGGGGGACTCACTGATGACCATCACACACACAAAATGCAAAGCAAGAACCAGCATGTGTTAATCAAATGTCAACTCGAACTCACAGAATCATTCCAGGGAACTTAGGGAGCTGAAGGAAGGCCTGAGCTTCAAGGCAAACCATTAAATGTCTGCTCTAGCTTGTACAGACCTCTTTATATAGGCACAGAAACAAGTGAAAATTTCATCCTCATCTCCTTCGTATTAAAAGTTTCACTTCATAAGTAAGCTGAAGGACAACCCTGGGAATTGGCTGATTCAGGTCAGGTCATCTATAAATATAGATATTAAGGCACTGTAATAGCAGAGTGGTGCCTTCAGAGGAACTCAGCATGGAGCAAACTATCACAGACCGCCCTGCAGGGAACACAGAACATACCCCTCAAAAAGGAACAGAGCTTTACTCCCCTCTCGACTCGAAACACAGGTCAAGGCGAAGATACCTCAGCATCCTGAACAGCTTCATTTCTTCCCAACGCTCTTCTCCTATATCTGCTGCTGAGTAAACCAGTATTAAACATTAACACCACTTGTCTTCTGTAGTCAAAAATTGCTTGTATTTCAATAAGATGCTTAGGAGCGACTGCATGTGGCGATACCTGCTCTAACAGAGTTCAAAGGCTTAACCCAAAGCTTGCTGCAATTTGGGAGGCCTTCCTTAGATCATGCTTAATGCACTTCAGAGCATGCTGTAAATCATTCTGCAATATAAATAATGACAAGGCACTACAGTTCTTCCTCTCAAACACATTTGCGTTTGTTCATAGACTCATTTCTAGGTGCTATCATAAGTAGTTTGAATGTGACTTGTTTAATATTGTAGAAGTTCTCCTAAAGGATTGCATGGAGGGTAGGTTAGTAAAAACAAAACAAAAAACAAACAAACAAACAAAAAAAACTATCCATCTGATCAGCTGATGTTTCCAGCTGTTTTTCATGAAGATCTTCTAGGTTTTAATAAGATGTATACTAGGTAGATGATTATTCACAGCTAGCAGCTAATGAGGGCTAATCAGGTACTAAGTTTTACTATAGGCACCTGAAAGTATCTCAGCAGTGGCAAGGCAGTTTTTAAAAACAGAATCAAGTAGCCTCACTGTTCTTAAGTGGAAGGAAGATAGACTGTAAACCCCAAGTAATCCTAGGCGTACTTTGGAAATCTTGATCTCTTAATCTTACAGTTTAACAAACCGAAAAGCAGATGGAACTGAGTCCTCACAGGAAGAACTCAGGACAAGAGAAGGTATTTGCAATCTATACTTGTTATGCATTTTTCACTGTATTATTACCTAAAGCTTTGGGTGACGTATAGTCTGACGTATAGAACTGGTCTCACGAGTTTATAGAACCCTACTAGCTGTGCTGCCTTTTCCTTGATATCCTCTTTCAGCAGTTTTGTTTGTGGTGATTCATGCCCTAGAACAGAAAACATTAAAAACATAGTTGCAAAGATAACTTTGCTTAAGGTTTGGGGATTTTTTTTGAAAAAAAACAATACCCTAAAACATATATGTTATTGAGAACAATTATGGTATCTGAATCAGAATGACTTCAGAGCAAAAGAACATTTAAATAGCTCAGTAATTTTTAACTGAATTACTGACCTTTTTGGAAGAATGATTTCAGCTGCCCTTGTTACTCCTTTCTCTGCCCTCCTGCTGTAGCTGTGTTTGTGCCACGTGTTTTCTGCAGACATGAAGACTCTTGTTCTGCTGCGGGAGATCCTGACCACTGCTTGGGCAGTGCTTGTGAAAGGCACTGCACTCAGCATGCCCTTTCCCTTGGGCTTTTTAGCCTCAATTTACATGTCTGTTGTATCCGCCTGCCATTTCAGGTGAGGAGGAGGGAATCTGGTATTTCACCTTGAATATCAGTGTATGGATGATACAGAAGATTTTCTAAAGAGTAAGACTAAAGAAACATTTATAAAAGGAAAATCTGGGCTGCTATGAACCTTGGCTACCACTTTTGTTACTTATAATCTTCATTGCTTTCCTTATCTTTTTAGACAACACCTTGGTTGTGCATGTCTTAGATGTGGCCAGCATATGCTGATCATATCTAAATAAGCAAGGTCCCAATTCCCCCAACAAGCCTGGATGAATGAAGAGCAGAAATACTTACTAAACTACTTCTATCTGACAGTGTAGGTACCATAACACAAGTTCCATTCCGATGGACAGACACATCCCTAACAAGTTGACAAGAGTAGGTACCATAACACAAGTTCCACTCCGATGAACACACAGACACATCCCTAACAAGTTGACAAGGTAGTTCCTTTAACTTGTAAGCAGGACAAAATTCACATATACCATATTAAAACCACAAACTGTTTTTCAAAAGTGTGTGATGCTTTTCTGAGTTGCATTCATTTCACGAGTATTGCTAAATCATTGAAAACTTACCTGATTATGAAACTCTGCCTTTTCAAAAGAGACAAATAAGCCCTTTAAACACTATCAGCCCTTTTGCTCACCAAACGCACAGTGAAATTATCAGTTTCTTTACATCCTGAAATAAGTTTCTATGAAACTATCAAGTTGCACATGCTTTCTAGCTTTAGGGATAAAAAAGCTGCAACATTCTGCTGCCCAGAGCTAAAGTGTTGCAGGCTGACCTCATGTCTCGAGAATGTTAATGAAATTTTATATTAGACAGCCTCTCGTTAAAATTATGAAAATAAGCTGTGGAGATTAAAGTCAGGATCAGGCTCACACAAATAAGCTTTTTGGGGAGACTGAGGTAAGCACTGAGTAACACACACATTCCCTGTGCACTTTGCTGGGACAGGAAAAGTCATAGGAAAAGAAATATCATTTTTGAAGGAGTCCAATCAAAAGCAAATTTTTGCTGCAACACTTTCAGTAAGTCTTTAAATAACCTCAGTCGTGAAGTAGGGCTATCCTATTTGGAAAAGCGTAGTTGTGTTGTCTTCTCTGCAGTAATCACTGCTTTGCCTGTAACAGAATGAGCATCTGTTCTGCTTTGAGTTCTACAGATATCCCAAGATTTTCCATCCAGAGTTGTCACTGGCCCTGATGAACAAGACACCACTTCAAAACTATTTTTGTGCAGTGACAGGAGGATGCCAGTCTCTACCCATGTTGTGACAGACCTGCAAAAATTTCAGAAGGATCTGGAATGGCTACTACTCTGAAAAAAAAAAAAAAGGGAAAACTAGATGTTATCCACTAAGGAAATTTTAAAGCATGAAAGGATAGCGTTGAAGTGTGTTTGCATACCACCAACTTTTAGACAGTATGAAAAAAGTGACACTTTACAGCTAAGTACTCAACAGTTGCAAGGTTAAATATGTTTATTTTAACTGTCAGGTGGTGTTACAACAGATTTATAGGTTTTGCCGCTATACACAGAAGTATTATTAAAAACAAAAGCAAAATACCCTTTCAGAAGGGATTCTATGCATCCTGAAAATAAAATTAAACCTCTGTTTCTCTTTAAAATGCATCATAGTAAACATTCTTCTCCATCATTGATAAAATGTGCATCTATAATAAATGACATAATAATTCTGGAAGTAGGGGAAACCAATAATAAAAAGGTGGAAAATAGGGAGGTAAAAGGGATATTTTGTTTAGGTTGATACTTAATTCTAAATATGTTCATCTAAAAAAAATTAAATATATCTTTTTTTTAACATATAATTGAAAATTTTGTATGGCAGTGCAATACAGAAAAAGTACAATTCATCCAAAAGGTGCTATGTACAGCAGCATTGTTTAAATAGCATAAAGAATAGGTGGTTCTGTTTCACAGGAAAGACTAGCGCACCAGTTAGCCGTTTTGGAGCTGAAGTTGGAAGATGTTTCCTGATTTATTAATTCCCTTTTCTCTCTTGGCTCCTTTCCACAGATTAGATTTTGAAACAAGGAATGGTCACAGTTCGTTTCAAGTGCCTGTATGTGCATATATAAGGGCAAACATATATACATGCATACACACACATATATATATGTATATTTATAAATATAAACAAACTCATTTTTTAAAAAATCATTGTTTTAGAAAATGGTGAGAGCTTTTTTTTTGAAAAAATGAGGCAATGTAGATTTGCACTAAAAAAAAAAAAAAAAGGGTCCATGATAGAAGATGGAATTTACTTTCTTTTATGTATTATTAACTCAGGAAACAATTATACTACAGTTTTGGCTGTCTCCCAGAGAAGATGCTCTCAGATGCCTCACATTCTTTTTAAAAAAAAAAAAAAAAAATAGGGGACATCATTTTAACCATAGCAAAATTTACCTTAGTTGTTGTTAACAGCACAAAGATGTTTACCTGCTATGGTAATCAAACCCTGAAATTAGTAAAGACTGTGCATTTTGCACAGCATAAATTGCAAGTGCAAAGCAGTGGTCACAGACAAAGGAGGCTGGAAAAAATGTAATAATAAAAAAGATGTCAGGTCGTCAAGCTTGTAAAAATACAAGCCTTTGATTCTGCTTGTTTTTTCTACTTCCATAGACTGTTGACAATTGTAAAACATTCATCTACTCTTTTTGAGTCATGATCTTAAGTACCTTTACCATCAAGGGAAGACCAGGAATAATTATGCCATATGAGGAAATCCTATGCCTCTTAGGTCACTACATTTTTTCTTTACAGGAATGTAAACATCACCTTATTCAGTGCTTCCCAGAATTACAATTTCAGCATAAAAAAGACTTCTGTGTCAGGGTTATAATCAGTCTCGCTCTTAGGCTGGGATGTAAACACAGTAGGAGATGTGACGTCCATACAAACTCCTTTTACAACACTGCAGGCTCCCTCTGGATTTCCTCTCTCCTCAATGGGGCTCCCGCTGAGCTGGCCAAGGCTTTGCAACCGCTGCCGCTCCTGGGCTTGCTTGGCCCTGTTGGCAATGTACCGTACCCTGCTTTGACTCCGAGACGAAGACCTGCGCAGGAGTCCCAAGCTCTCCCCTTCCTCTTCGGATTCAGTTGGATCAAGACTGGTAGGCGACGTGATATCATTTTCCTGCTGCAACTTCCTTAGCTGTTCAGTCAGCTCATCCTGACACCTGACTGATGGTCTCAAACTGGAGGAGCGACGCTGCTCCCGCATTGATCGAGTGACAAAACTCTTGCTGATGCTCCGGTACTTGCTTTCAAAAGTGCACACGATATCATCAGAGGTAAGGTCTCCAAGGCTTTTGGATTTTGCCTGGCTATTCCCAACCTTATCTTGCGCTTTGGATTTGAGAGAAGATTGTCTGAGACTTTCCATGTAGAGCCTGCTCCAGGTATGTCTTCTAGGGATGGATGAGAACGCATCTTGAGAGCTCCTGACAAGAGGTCGGGGGCATAACTCATCCTCTGGCAGCTGATCAGACCTCAGATTAGGATTGGATTTGCTCTTGCTCACCACTGGCATCTCGCTACCTGATGCTGTAGCAGATCGCGGGCGCATACCCTTTCTAACAGCAAGGGGCTCAAAATTTTCATGTCGGATGCCAAGATCTGGAAGGCTTTTGCGAGCTAGATTGGGAAGAGAGAGATCTATCACAGTGTCATTGGAGGACATGCTGGAGGAGGAAGACATGCTGTCACGGTGATTGCTGCAATCTAGCTTGCTCCAGATCTGGTCATTAACAGTAGCATCAAAATACACTTCTGCCGCTGGAGACTGGCTACTTGGGTTTTTTATTAAGGCTGAGGAGTCTGACATCTTGTGACCCACACTCTTTGACTTCCTTGTTAACAAATAAGAGCTGGTTTGAGAAACAGAAACAGCTGGAGTCTGTGCAGTTTGGCCCTTGTGGAAAGCTCCAGGAGGCAAAACTAGCTGTGTGCTGTTAATCACATTGTTATGCTGCAGAGGGGCAGCTGCTGCACCAAGCTTTCGGCCTTTGGATTCAGTGCTGATTTTCAGGTCTGTTAATACATGACCTGGTTGGTCACCTTGCCTCTGGCAGCCCTCAGCAGCTTGGTCAGCAGTCTTGTCCACGGCCACCACCAGCCAGGCTTGTTGAGGATGCACGGCTAAACTCAACTGATCTTCGGCGCTGCTGTTTGCCTGTGTCCCACCGTTTTCTTCTTTGAAACACCCTGCCACGTCTGTCCTTTCATCCTCTTGGACTAATACACTTGTGTTGGCTGCTGCTGCGCTCACCTGCACTTGGTCTTCTGCAGCCACGTTCGCTCTTGGCTCTTTGGAACGCAGAGGTTCTTCCGTGGGATTGGATGTGCTGCTTTCTTCCGACTGAGATTCAGTGGAACGACCAGATACAGACACTTCTTCGGAATCACAGTACGGGGCAATGGGCAGGGGGAAGACGCTGGCATGTTGGTTTTCATTGGCAATACTGGGCTCTTCAGTGATAGTTTCTAGGCTGCATAAAGAAGTGACTGACTTCTGCATTGAGAACTGGCAGATACCTATCAGGGAGATACAAAGGAGACAGGAAAAAGAAACAAACAAAAGAGATACAAGGTTAAACATTTTTACCAAATGTAGATTTATTCTTTACATACTATCTTTCTGTTTGTAAAGTAGCCAAAAACATCAGTCATGTTTTTTAAAGTAACTTTTACGATTTCAAATGTCAAGAAAGGCACTAAAACACTCTACTTGCTCAGTTTGAGCTATCCAACAGCCAAGCTGCTTTTGAAAGATCTCAGTCTATGCTTATTGGCAATGTGTTTTGTCGCGTGCCCATATTCCAAGAATGGTACCAGTCAGTTCCTTAGTGTCCTGTTACCCCTTCTCAGAACTTCTCTTCACCCACTATCCAGCACCACATGAATTGCTTTAGCCCCTCCATCTCCCAGAAATGGCAGCACGTCAGATCACTCTCATGTATAACCACTGCTCAACCAATACATGTAATTCCAAGTGTCAGTTACACAGAAATGCAGCTGCAAAGACTTCTGAAATGGATTGCAAGTAAAATGATTTGTATGTGTACAAAGTGCTGTAGTCAATGCACCTTTTAAGAACTTTTAATAAAGTAACTTTGTTTTGTTAAAAGGTTTGTTATTTAATTTTCAAAAACTCTACAAGGATGCATATTCCATGAACACCAGGCTGGCAATATCTTCCTGAAGAGTCAGCAGAGCTGCTAAAAGGACACTCCAGCTGCAGTATTTATACCACGTACCCTATGCCACAAAGCAGCCATGCCAAAAGGACACTTTTCACACCTCTAAACCACAATGCAAACATGCTGCAAGAACTAGCAAAGCATCACAAAGAAGCTGGACAACAGCCTCAAGAATATAAGAGCAGGTAATTAATAAGTCTGGAAGCAAACAAACAAAAAGGCATACAGGCAACAAGGTGCTTGAATCAGTGACACTCAGGAGACAGTTACCTTTTATTTGCTTGTCCTTTCAGTTCTTAACTAGAGAGAGAGAGTGTGCATGTAGAATAATAGGACAGAACAGAGGAAAAATTCCAGTTAATATAGGGAAGGCAGGTGCAGGTAACAGGATAAATTAATGGGGAGAGAGGGAAGGGAAATAGAGAGGAATAGCCACGTATTTCTTGTAGGATCCTAGGAATTTGTGTATTTATTTAATTAAACAGTGCACTCAATGGATTCCAGAAACGGATTCATATTAAATGCGTTAATTTTGTCACAGAATTAGAAAAAGAAAAGACTTTTTTGTTATTTTTCAATGATTTTTCATAAGATAAGCTTGAAAAATATCAGTGTTTTTTCCCTCCATCTGCCACACAGAAATCGGTAGAAAAACTACAATTCAAACTGCCCACAAATAAGTTGCCCAAAATATATGCAACGTCGCTGCGGTTCACAATGCAATATGGCAGCATAAAACTGTACCGCTCAAAGGAGACAAAACAGACATCCCACAAGAGAGATGGCACACTCATACCAAGCATAAATATATCTGCTTCCCTTGAAGAAATGCCCATTATAGAAACAGAAGGCCCATATGCACCTAGAGGACTAGCAGGCACAGTAAGACCAGTCTGGTAAATCACTGCACAAAAGCAAAAGCTTTACCCAGATGGACTGATCAGAATCAGTCTTAGTGACTAGTAAAAGGATTAAGTATCCAAAATAGCATCACTTCCTCTTTTTGCAGCTCCTTTTTTCTCAGGTAAAATTCTTCATCCCCTGAAATTAATGATCCACCTTCCACAGACGGTACCACTTCACAACCAAGTATCCATAGGTTTTCTCTTTGGTTTGTTTCCCAGGGGACTACCTGCTTCCATAACCACACAGCTGGAATAACAGAGAGGCCATACACCCCACAGGGCTGGGGGAAGGAAGCTGCCCTCCTCTTCTCACACCTTTTCTAAGGCAATGGACCTTTTTCTGCGTTACAAAAGTACGCTGAAAGCCTCCTGGCCTTGCCTTTCACCACTCATATTTCAAATCTAGCCTCCTGACAGAAAGCCTGTGAAAGGAGAGAGCTATTTAGCAGCCTATATTCCACTAGTGGGAGTATACAAAGGGAAGAATGCATCTTGATTGCTGTGTGTACAGAAGCAAAGGTCACTATTCCCACCTTAGCAGCCTTTTCAATACTGCTATGAGTGTCTGGAGGGGTCCAGAGCTGATCAGACTCATGGACTCTCCTTGTCCCCATCCAGGCTAGGTCATCAGCAACATAAGGCAAAATACTAGAAGCTGCAATGATGTTGCCATTAAAGGGGCAAACTAGAGGCTATCGTTTCCCGTCTCATCATTCTGGCACTTTATTTCAATGGAACATTAATTATGAAATGCATCAGGCTAACATTTCTGGTTTCCTTGGTGTCTTGGCCTAAAGCACAAAAATAGCCGGGTTGGGGGGAAACACGCTGTTTTTGCAAACACAGTGTTTGTCACCAGGATCATCAGTATCCAGTCCAAGGGATTGCTTCATTATTTTTAAGGATTGTTCGTTCCATGCTTGAGAAGTCAGATGGATTTAATCAAATTTCAAGCATATCACAATATTTATTTAGTGACTTAGAGGGCTGGCGGGGGACCTGGCACTAATAATGGGAAAGGGCTCCATATGTCACAATACTCAGAGCTTATGAAAAGCCTAATGCCAATAATCTAAGTGCAGGAAGACTTCTGCTGTTTTGGATTAATTTCAAGCCATGGGAATTGGCAAAATTCTTCCTTCTCTTCCCCTTCCTTACCCTGGTGTTTTCTTGAAAGCTCTAAGCACATCTTGGGAAAAGGAGGTTAAAAAAAGAGATTTAAAAAGTGAAAAAAAAACAAAAAACAAAAAAAAAACACAGGAATTGCAGACACCCAGTAAGATCAAATCAATTCAATAAGCAGAATGTTTTAAATTTCTGTATTTCAGTCAGAATCAACTACTTAAAAAGGGATCACATCTTCAGAAGCACCAAAGTGCTTCAGAAACACGTGATTGTTCTCTTGAATAAGACAGACCAGAGAATTCCATCCAGTAATTCCTGAGTGATGTCAGTACCTTACACTGAATGGCAAATTCTCTGATGAATGGACTGGTCTGACTAATTTCAGCTCCATTGTGATTATATCTCAATGAAATATAAACATTGATAAAATAATGCTGCTTGTAAATATGTTTTTCTCACATTCTCCTTAATGCTCTGTTTGGATCTTAAAATTTACTTGCATCATATCATGTTCACTTAGAAAAAAAAAAGGCAAGGAAACAAAAAAACTTCAACAAACAATCCAAACATTCATGGACTATTGACAGTTTTACTACTGGAGATGGTTGACTAGGCATGGGAAGGACTAATCTAAACTAGACACATCTAAAAAATATGTTTATACACAGATGTTTGTCTTTCATTGCCAAGAGAAAAAAACAACTAAAAAAAAAAAGAGCTTTTGATACCAAAACAACACACAAAAGCTTCTAAGGAGAGAGGACATGCAGCAAGCGGGGCAATGATGCAATCTAAGGTGGATAAGGGTGAAGAAAGTCTGTTCTTACCAGTAAAGAATATAGGGGATTTACTTCGAATTTCCTCCAATTTTTGAACGAACAAGGCATTCATTTCCCGCTGTAGGGTGCCCACTTGCCTTCGAGAAGTTTCAGGCCAGCGCTTGGGGAATTCTGGGCTTCCAAGGCTTTCTAGACTGCTGGAATTGGAGGATATGGAGCTACTGGTGGCTGCAACCAAGTTCACAGTGCTGCCATACTTGCCACGTGACTGGCACTGCCAGCGATGCCGGGAATGAGGCTTCATTCCATGACATTTGGATTCAGCAGTTTTCTTCCCTGAGGTCACCAAAGACTGGCTGCCCCTTATCGGGTCACCGGCAGTTCCAGAGCTGCTGCAAGGCTGCAAATCTGATCGTGGCCTTGGCTGATCTTTAATACCCCAGGTTTTTAGTTCTAACCTCTCTTCTCCAGTTATACTGCTATACTGCTCATGGTGAGGCATATCTTTAGCAAGAGGCCTGGTAGGCTGGTCACTCCATTTGCATTCTAGATCTGGGCTTTCTTTGGACCCAATCATGCATTTCATGCAATTAGTGGCTACTCCAATCCTACCAGAGCCGTTGATGGCGCAGCGTGCAAAGATACTCTGCTTCTCACTCTGCTGCTCCTGAAGACGGACCCTGTTCGACCTCCGAATGGGTTCACTGAAAGCAGAACCCCCTTGAACACAACCTTGGCTTTTACCTTTGCCACAAGGATGGGCCTTACCTTTCCACCCTTTGCCATGTACCTCCCCATTGGCACCATCTCTGGGAGCTGGTGACGGACAAGCACTGTCGGGCGTTTGCTCAAAGTGAGGCTGAGAAGTGTCTTCCACTTCATGGTCTTCGCTGGCCCCTTCAGAGCTGTTATCTTTGGTGTCAAAAGCAATTTCTGGAAACCCTTTCTTGTTTTTCTTCTGGGTTTTGGTGGGTGCACTCGCTGTGCGTCTCAAGATGTGGCCACTAAAGGAATGTTTGCGATGGAGCTGACCAGCAGCATGACTGTCCAGAGATGCCTGCTTTGGATTTCTGAGAAAAAGACCTTTTAGACCCAATGTTTGTTTGGCCTGGAAAATAATTAAAAAAAAAAAAAAACCTTAGTATAAAACACAAACCTCTTCCTTTGAGCAACATATACACATATGCATGCACACAGGGTCTCCTGCCATATTCCTACCTTCAGAATGGGAACTAAACTGAAAATAGGACAGATATTTAAAAAGGGGAAAAAAATCAGTAACAACAGTTTTGCAAGATCTCACATCTTTTTTTTTTTCCCCGATTACAGTTTTAGACAAAATTTCCCCACAGCCTTGTTCCTGTATTTGCCACCTTTTCTTACTGTCACATAGCTACTTACAAAGAAAACACAAGCACTAGATAATAAAGAGAAAAAAAATGGAAATATTTCACCTATTAGGATCTATTTCTGAAAGATGAAAAGTTTTTCAAAGTGTGCTAAAAGTGACAAAGCTTAGAATATTCAGAATGTCACAGATTTCAGACTCCTACAACTACAGTTCAGGTAAGTTCTTTTTAGCAATACAGTCTTTTTATTTTATTTTATTTTGGGAAGACACAAAGCCCTGTGAGGTATGGGACAGCAGGTATGGCCACAATACTGTCCCAAGAGTTTCTTCCTAGGGATACATAGCAGAACCCAGAGGAGGCATAGAAAATCAGAATCCAAGGATAAGGGAGACTTACAGATTTGTTGCAAACTTGTCTGTTCTTTAAGGAATGTAAGCCACTTGGAAATGTGCATAAAAAAAATACTGAAGCAAATCTCTAGAAAGTGAATGTTTATGCAACCATCACAATATATAAACCAGCCCCAGAAACCCTGCTAAGGGATAAGTCTCCTGACTCCAAAAGTACTCAACTAGAACACTTCTCCAGAGGGCAATTTGGAATAGTTAAAAGGGATTAAAAGTCTGAAGAAATTGCCAGTAACAGCGTGGGTAGAATACAGCGGCAAACTTTCTAATCTAGGCATTTAAAGCACTTGCACTTAAAGTATGTGGTGTAAATGATCCCTAAGAACGGCCACAGAGGAATTGCTGCAACCCAGCTACTGTAAACCCAAGTTCCAGGAAATAGGAGGGAAATCTGAATGAGATTGATGCCTTTAAATCACACCATAGTACAACTAATGCTACACATACTGCAACTCAGTGTTATCTTAAATGGTCACTATGTGTCTTCAAAAAAAAAATCAACAGCAGTTTCAGAGACTCAAGACACACTAAAATTGGACCAATTAGAATAGCTTAAGAATTAAAATAATTAGAAACATTGAGCTGAATTTTCTGGCTTGTGCAGGAAGTTGTAATTGTTCAGAGATGGGCATCAGATACCACCAAATTTAATCTTTCCTGTCTCTTACACTGGAGATAATGACCAGCCCTCTAACTTTGTACAGGAAAGACATACACCAAAGTGCCCAGCTCTGGAATAAAAATATTGCTCAGGGTAAATGAGGGAAAGAAACTGAAACACCTGTGCCCCCTCCCCTTACCAAAATAGTCCAGCCTTTAGAAATGGAGGCAGTTTAGAAAAGCATTTTAAAAACCTTTTTCATTTTACCTGCCATGCATCATGAATTTTTAATGACAATGGCCCTTTAAGCTAAAAAATATTCCTGACTTAAACAACACAGATAATGAATGCGATGTTCAAATGGAGCTTTACATTCTTTTGGAATAGAACTAATGCTATCATGAATACCAGTTTAACTGGATATATATATATATATATATATATATATATATATATATATATATATGATGAACTCTTCTCTTGCTACCTGTGTGATTACATTTTGATTATTTTCTACACTTCATCACTTCCAACACTTATCCAAAGTATGTCACCTATGTTTTCATCACTGAAGAAACACATTATAAACAAGCAAAGTTAGTCCAGATGATAATATTGTGCTTTGAGTACTGAAGTATATACATAGCCAGTATATACTTAGTGAAGTAATTAAATGCACAGAATTATGTCATGAGTTTCCCACCATCCTACAGTTGAACATTTCAGCAAAAGTGAGTTTCAGCATTCCTGTAAGCATTCCAGGTGTACTCGCCAACTTTTGGAGCAATAGCTGTTGCATAATGGAAAGCAGGCTGGTTTGGGTGTAGAGCCTCATACACACATGTCTCATAAAGCAGAGAAACAGGGCTCCCCTTCTGATTTGCTTCTCCTCCTTCGTTCCCTTTATGTTCCCAATTACATCAAACTCTCATTAGTAGTTGTAGTGCTCTTCCCTATCTGGAGCATAATGAATGAATGAAAATATTCTGCAAAGTATACAACCTTATGATTGAAATACTTTGCAAGAAATCCATGATAAATCTGGTCAACATCAGTGCTCCTTGCACCCTGTCAGTTCAGTTCCTCTACTCTGCAATGCCACAGGAGTTTACACTTCTGGCAGTGCTAAGCAATGGCTAAGAAATGTCTCATTTAAATTAGAGTGATTTATCTTTCACCTCCAAATATTTGACCACATGCTCATGCATTTCAGTTTTTAAATTGTAGGACTTCATGGATAGAAAATAGTTGAACTGTACAGTGAGCCCAATTTGAAAGCTACTTTTATTCAAAAGGGTACAGAGCAAACTGCTATATGGAATGATAGCTTATTGATCTGATAGGAAGCCCAATGAAAACATTCAGAATATAATTTCAAGCTCTAATTGACTAAAGCTTCATTTTTCACATGCCATGATTCAGTGTGAGCAAAAAGTGACGAAAAACTGAACTCAAACAGTCTTTAAAAATATATACAGGGTATGATAAGGAAGGTAGGGATTAATTTTTCCCATTAATTGATAAAACAGTGCAAATAATGAAAGGCAGAGAAAATGTAGATTAAATATTAATAAAAATTCTGTGAGAGCCAGCCTATTGAATAACTTGCTTGGATCATTATGGATCCACATTCATTTCAAAACTTCAAAACCGATTTATGCATTTGTAAAGGAGTGAAGGAAAGAAACATCTTGGTCCAATTGAGAAAAGTTGGCAAGTACACAGATTTATTATTATAAAATCATGCAATATAAATAATTGAAAATCACAGAAAAATATGTATTTTCTCTCTCTCTTTCACGCATACCCACAAATAATATCTAATAAAAATAATTAAAAAAATTTAAAAAAAGCTGATGGAATGGAAGATGAGCAGTGAAGGACCCCAGGTATTCTGGTTTATTTGGTGCTCCTTGTTAAACTAGCTATTATTGCTTGAATCAGTGGACAGATTCAAGAGCCCAAATTGACTATAAATTTGGTTAAACTTACAAGAAAGGTTAAGAAAGAGAGCCAGTTAGAAGGAGATCCAGAATTTGTGCTTTCAGCATCTTCTCCAGCTTTTACAAATCTTAAGAGCTACTTCATTCTTCAATTTTACAATTTCAAACACTTCAAAGACTTACAAATCAGCACAAGAGGCTTTCCCACAACTTAGCAAACTGTTACATGTTCTTTTCAGGTGGAGAAAATATTTTCAGTTACAGCATATCAGAGAAAAGACAAGTAGGAGACTCATGGAAGAAAGAAAAGGAAAGCATAAAAAGACTTTATCCTGGATCTGCTTCACAAACGCAGAGCTCTCGCTGTTCGAAGACCCGACAGAACTGAGTCAAATGGCACAGCCCATGTATGAGTTGAATATTTCAAAATGCTAATAAGGAAACATTGATGCTAATGAAGTAACTAGTTAGAGGCATGCAGGTATATGGTGGTCGCTACGCCTCCCTGTGATAGGAGGGGGTACCTTCAAGACGTCTAAAAATGCTCTGCTTCTAAAAGTAGACTTTTTTGAATAGAGAAGCTCACTGAAATCACAAACAGACAGAGTAAAAAGGCAAGTAAGACATAACAGTGAGGAAAGATCGCAGAGATACAGACATCTAGAAATATACAGATACATGAATAGACCACGGAAGAAAGAAACAAAGAAGAGAGTCTTCAGGCAACAATACAAGTGATAAAAAGAAAAGAGATTTCAGCTAAATAAAGCTTTTTTTTTCACTTTAACTTCTAACTGTTGCAATTTCCAGTTACTGGACAGAGCATAATATCCACATTTAAAAAAAAAAAAAAAAAAACTAAAATGCTAATGCTTGCGAAAGAATATTTGGATTAATAAAGGCTGCGTAAATTCAAACTGGTACCTGTGTTTGCTTTTCTGTTCATGATTAAGAGTTCCAGTTCTTTAGTTCTTGCAAACAAAACACAGCATCATTTAACAGTGTTTGAAACGTTTGCTACTCCAGCGGCCACTAACACAGAACTGCACAACGCTTTGACTGAGCTAAGCCAGTAAGAGTAGGAAATCTAGGAGCTCATAGTAAGACTAAAGTTGTCCTGCTCTTTAAAAGCAACCGGGAGCGCTGTGGGATACTTGATTCATATTCTGCCATTCTTGTCCTTGTTGGGTATCAAAGCATTTCATGTGCAGCCTTCACTGATATTATAAACCTACATGCACAAAAGATCTCCTGACCAAGAATAGCAGAATGTGATCCAGAGGAACCAGAAGAGAAAACGTTGCTTAATGTTTTGTCTCCTTTTGTATCTTTTAATGAGGATAGTGAACAGCTTCACCATCTTAACATCAGCATAGACCGAGACACTGCAATGGTAGTGAGAAGCAACAAGAGATGTATAATAGATTGAGAAGGACAGACGCAAATAAAGCACTCAAAATCCAGATCAGCAGTGTAGACTGGAAGCTATTGGATAAGGACAGGTAGGAGACAGCACGATACAGCAAAAGACTTTCTGTGTTCATCAAGTTTTGCTTATAAAACATACTAAGAAAATCTAATATTCCAACAGATGCGGCACGGATGCACTTAGCAGTGGCCAATCTGTGCCTTGCAGTTAGAAATTAAACACTGCTCATCTGCTTTCTATTTTACACAGACCAGCATCAACCAATTCTCCTTCATCCAAATTTTCAAAAGTCTCTTTCTCCTTAGAGCTAAATTCAAACAGATTCACAAATGCCATCCCAAGGCAGAAGTGCCTAGCCCTGTCAGGAAGAAGCTCTATCTGCCCAGAGATTTCAGGTTTGCCACCAGGCCAAAAGGCAGAAACTCAGCTCGACTTCTCCTCTCGTTCATTAGACAGGCATTAACTGAGAAATCTAACACGACAATCTTTCCATAAACCGTCCATTTTCCTGTACGTACACAATGAAACTTCCCTGGGAGTTATCTCAATTCCAGCCCACAAATGTTTTTATTAAAATCTAGTAGTTAAGAAAGGTATTTTTGTTTGACTGTTTATTTAGTTTTCCCAGGATAAGCCATAACACACAAAAAGTGGAATTCCCAGCCTATTCAATGCCGCCTCCTGCCGTCAGGATGCTGATACAACAGAAAGTTCAGTCTGCCATTGAGCCTGGCTATAAACTCATGCCCAGATTCCAAGGTGACTTGGCCATCGGAGTGTCAACGAAATTAATATCACAGAAATAATTAAATCCAGCACATGGAAGAAAAGATATCTCATTTTCGGCTGGCCCTAGGAAAAGTTTGAAGTTGGACAAGTCAGACATGGCATCCAGATAGCATTTTACTTCCATGTGAAACAAGCACGCCAATCTCAGTAGAGAAGCAGTGAAAGTCCCTAAGCAGATAATCTCCAAGAGCCTTAGTAAAATTAACAAAGTCACAGGCAGACCGGCCCTTCATAGAACAAATGAGTTTTGCAGGCAGAAAGCACCGAGAGGCTCAGGTGAATAAGCGTTGGTACAGCAAGGTGCACTTAATGTACTGGACACAAGCAAACTCATTCTCTGTACCAGCATATGCTGCAATGAAAAACTCTCTGTTTAGAAAGATCTCAGGATGCCAGGACAACCACAGCACTAGTTTATCCTAGTTTGACAAATAGGTTAACTTGGACCCTTACCTGCTGGGCTTCGCTGGTGTAACACAAAATCCTGCCAGCACATTTAAACATGCAAAATAAATTACTTTATACTGAAGGCACTCACCTTACCACAGATGTCATTAATAGCCACATGAACAAAAATGGATGCCTCTTCTATACCTTCTAGGTATACATGTCGGTAGCCTAAAACAGAGCAAGCAAAACTGTCAGGGAGTAATAAATGATAGAAAGAGCATCTAGAGACTTCCCCTTGGTAAGCAACAGAAATTACTGAGCTTTCGCTCAACTTCTCCCCGTACTAATCATCTAGATTTGTGCTTCGTGCAGCCACACGCAATTTATTTGTGATAAAACAGCAGTTACAAATGTAACTGATATTTCTTCTTGTCCCTTTTTTATTAAAGGAATACAAATATTTTGTTCTGGTTTTGCTCATGTCCAATATTGTGACTGTCAATCTTAAACTTGACTCTCTTGGTGATTTACACGCTATTACTAATACTGTAGATGTTTCGACCAAGTTTATCCTATTGAAATTGGTTATTTGTTTTCAATTGTAATTAGTAAACCACAAAATATTATAATATCCTTTGTTTTAAAAGAAAATGAAAAATACACATGCAAGTGAAATGCGGCTGAGTCAAAAACAACAATAAGAAGCAGACAGAAAATAATTTGTAAAAAAAAAGATAATAGGTAAATGTCTGCCATATGTTAAACTATTACTGATACTTTGAACTCCAATGAAGACTAGTATCTTTCAAAAACCAAAAGGTGGGAAAAAACACAGAAAAAAGCGAAACGAAATAACACAGGAAACATTATTCATGGTTGTCTTTCAAGTCCACTATATTTAGCCAACTTGCTCTACAATCTTAGGCATCTTTTAAAAAACAGAGCCCCACAGAGTTGGGCAAATTAGTTTTTGTCATATGGAAATCAGTAGACGACCTGGAGAGAGAATTCAGGACCTCAAGCTCCGTGTTTCTCGTGAGGATCCCTGCTGCGGACACATGCACACACCCAGTAACGCAATTCCTGCGGTTTCACTCACCACAGGAAGAGGTTCTAGACAAGGAATTTCACAATTTCTGTCTTACCTGGCATCATACTGCTAAAAGCTAATGTTCTCTGCCCAATAAAATCTCGCCCAATTGGATCATGATCCCACACGAGGAATCGAATCAATGCAATCTCTGGCATGTGCACTGTAAACACCAACGTTTCCTCCCACATTGGGTTAAAACCTGGGAATGAAAGACATGGACATATTTTGGGTATTTTGTTTGTTTTAGATATCATGTTCATGAGACATGAAGCACGAAGGCTGTCTATATACGGAAGGCCTAGACTGCAGTGGTTATTCTGGTTTTCCTAGCAGTTTGATCATTGTTTTTTATAAATCCAGTATTCCTGCTTCTTTCAGTAGAAATCACAATACCACAACAATTTGTGAAAAATAAAAACCCAAAAATAAATCTTACTTAAAGTTGGCCCTGCATTCAGCAGGTGGTTGGACAAGCTGACTTCCATCTTTTCTAACCTAGATTATCCTATAATTTTAATTTCCTCATTAACATTTCTAACAGTCACCAAATTTCATCTATTTGATTATTTAAGAACAAGACTTCTAAAATGGTGCTTCCTCAAAAATGTTTCTGAATAAGGATATTTCCAATAAGAAAAAGTTAAGTTATTTGCTGTATAAGAGCAAAAAACTCATGATCTTACCATTATCATCAACTACTCTAGTTTGTTCTTTGACGCAATCAACTGGTAAGCCTATGACTTCTACTTCTACAAATGGATCTATGATCTGGAAAAGAGAAAGTAATAAATATTGAAAAGAGCAACAAAGACAAAATTTAGGCTCAATGCTAACCCTCACAATGAGAATATGGTACATTTTTCTCCCGTGTTTTTATATCATAAACCTTTCTATAAATGACAATTATCCTGAGAAGAAACATACGGTCAAATCAACAAAATGGCATAATTTAGGATGAGCCTGTTATATTGACAATCAGGAAAAACAGACTACTGCAGTGATGCTTAGAAGACACCAAAACCACCTAAAGATTTAATGATCTGTCTAATTTATTCATATTCTATAAAAACTGCACAAATTTAAACACTCATCCTTATCCCAGCCATCTGGAAAATTAACAATTACCAATTGTCTCATACCTCTCCTCTGTCTCCCAACATGGAATCCCGTGGTTTTGGGAGTTGTTGACCACTGATAATTCGTAGAACCAGCTGCTTCTTCAACTGTCCAGGCAGTGGGTCTTCAGAATTTGGATTAAAGACACCTTAGGGATGAGAAGCCATATAATGTGAAAGAAGTGCAATTTCAGGGATACCTTTAGATACCTTCCAGTTTATTTGCTTCTAGCTTTAGCAATCCAGTTTCTAAAAATTATAATTGGGATCTATGCCTTCTCTTCTCATGCCATAAACAAGTGAAAAGCATGTAAGTCACTTTTTTGCTGCTTTTTCTTACCTTCACACATGCAGTTTGGTTTGAGGACATAGCCACAATTCCCATTGGCACTAAACTTTGCCCGGTTCAGTTGTAGCATTCTCCCCTCTGACTGGTAGTTTAATGCAACTAAAGAAGAAAAAAAGAAAAAAGAAAAGAGTAATATCAGTAATAGCAGATTTTAATGGCATTCTTGTTTGTATAACCCAGGTAAAAGAAGAATACCTAGATATTTTTAAAATTTCCTTTCTTGGAAAATCATATATGTTGGAAAAAACCTTCCCTTACATCACATACAATACACCTTCAGGGAGAAAAGCTCTGCAGAAAAGTTCTAAACTCTGAAGTCTTCCCACATAGATAAGAAAGAAATTCATTTATCTCCATTTATCAGACGTATGCTTATGCATAACATATATTTAAGAAAATCTATGTAGGTAACAATGCAGAAAAAAAATTACAACTCAGATGTCAGTAAACCTGAATGAACAGAGAACTTAGAAACGACAGAACAGGTAATTCTGAAGCTTCTACTTAAACATTTCTTCTGAATTAAAACAAATAAAACAAGGCTTGTTTTTGCTCACCAAGCTGGCAGCCAGCATTCCAGAATGGCTGGGGATTGTAGTTGCTAGAGTCAACACGGTAAGAGGATGGGTAGATGCGGGACAACTGGTGTTGGTTGAAATGTAGATACTGTGCTGGCTTTTGCTGCAGGATCTGGTGGGCTTTTGTTTCACTGAAAGATGAAACCTGCCAGCTGCAAGAGACTACAAGGAAGAGAGGAAAAAATTAGCGGTCATCTCCCTTTTTAGTTATTTTATTTTAAATAAAGCATTTAAAAATATAGCAACAGTTACTTATAACAACCAACTCTTATTGGAACACATCCTACTACAGAGGGAGTCATCCTTTTTTCCATTATAGCAAAATCAACATGTTTATTGGAGGAGTTACACTGGGACAATGAAGCCAAGTACAACAAATGTATGCAACTCTTCTGTCAAATCCTTCCCAGGATAGGAGGCAGAGACAAAAAAAATCAAAAGCTTTTGTAAAAATAGCTGTAAGAAAATAAGATTTCCCGTTTCTCTGCATAGCAATTATTTTTCATAGAATTCTAATTTAACCTACTTTCGGTTTCTACATCATGAATGCCAACAGACTTTGTGTACTTCACCAGGTCAGACAACGCCCGGGAAAGTTTCATTGTTTTCTTCTGTCGGTTTACCCTAGAAAGATAAAACAAAACAATTCCTCATTAACTAAGAGAGAAACTTTCTCCATCATATTTTAAAAACATCAGGGTGAAGAAGTAAAAGGAGGTTTTCTTCCATCACAGAGATATTTAATTCTTTTATATCACATGAAGCCTCACAGTCAAGGCATAGAAGCTTTAGAGAAAAGCCTATAAAAGTATTCCCATTCTCATGTTCACGCAAAGATCTTTTTAGACACAAAATTGCTAAATCACGTTTTACAAACCTGCTGCAATGTACAGAGCCCCTGGATAAATTTCCTTGAAAGTCCAAATCATCTTCACCCTCTTCCAGACTTGTTGCCTTTTTCAATTTGCTTCCTTTTTTCTGTGCCATAAGGACATAAAACATTTTATACAATACATAACAAAACATCAATATTCAAAAGAGAGTTGCTCTTTCCTGCAACAAAGTAGTAGAGAACAAAAATAAACTCAAATTAAATTATCTATAATAAAAATTAAGGATTTCTTTTTTTCTGGGTTTGTTCTGTAGAAGGGTTTTCAAAGAATCAGAAAAGTTACTGCCCACTTTTATGGCGTAAGAAAGTCAACAAAAGATACTGGTTTGAGGAAGTCTTTGTGGAAGCACAACGTAGCTGTTATGATGACCACAACTTCCATATTGCTGATACGATTGAATGTGTATGTAAGAACATATCAGACGACTTCCAGCATTTTGAGGGCATTATTGATTTTGGGTATCTATTTTGAGATAATTTCTTCTGTTTTGAGAAAACATCCGGTTCCTTGCTCTGAGAAAAGGAGGATCTTTTTAAAGGCCCCAGTAAAGCTCCCAAAAAAATGATATTCTTACTTGAAATGCTTTGCATCAGGTATGAAATATCACAACTACAAACTGGTTTTTAATATCCTGTCCATCTGATCAACATTTGAGCAGCTAGAAACAAATCCTGCTGCATTATGCCAAGAAGTATGTTCCTTGCAGAAAATGTGAAATGACAGCTTTTTTAATACTCTTCAATTCTGCAGAATGATATTCATGCCTGTGAGGAAGGTTCAGCCTAAGGTCAGAACCTTTCTATAATGGAACTGTACATCTTCACATAGAAGATATTTTCTACAGTGTCACTGCTGCTCCAAGTTCTGTGTCATGCAGAGAAAGTAGGATAAAAAAGGTTATTCTGGTTTGTTATGTTACAACTCTTAACTTATTTGAAATGGAAAATGCAAATTAATTTGAATATTTTTCCCAAATAGATATTGGATAAAATTAGACTCTGATGAGAAACGAAACAAGCTATTATACACAACTAACCAGTTTTCCTGCCTGTTTAATCAGTGAGCAGTGTGATAGAAAGCCTCTGCCACACAATGCAGTTATGACATTCCTCCCCCAGCACCACGAAGAAGTAAGTTCAATCCAAGAGTCCCCTAGTTAGCGTGGACCTCATCTACGGAGCGGCTTACCTTGCGTTTGGAAAAGCTGCCCATCAGCGACCGGCCGTGCCGTTTGCTGGTGCTGAAATCTTCCCCAGATTCCACTTCATCTTCAAGTTTACTCTAAGGTGAACAAGCAGAAGGAAGAGTGAACGGCAGCACAACCAGACGAGTTTCTCAGAACTCTGTAAGAGTTTTCTCAAGAATGTCTTGCTTCCAGCTGTTAAAGTTTATCCGATGAAAAGGCTTCGTTTACACGAATAGTTAATTCCTGTGGTTAATTAGTGTGTAAGTATTAAATTCTATTCTAGCATTCTACTATTAAGTTCAATATTATATACTCCATAGTTTGTTACACTGGCAGTAGTAATGTTTCTTCTAACATTATAACCATATTGGGAGAGAAAAGAACTGAAGTCAAGAACTAAAGAGTTTTAGCCTTACCATGAACTTATCTCCTGCAGAATGTGCCGTGGAACTGTATTTCTGAAATAGTAATGCTTAGGTGATAAATCAGATTATTGTATACTCAACATTTCTAACAAAAAGAAACACTATCACAATCAACTTTTTTCAAAGATCTAAAGATAGGATAAGCACAAAACCTGAAGGATTCATCCACAACAAAACAATACCAATTATTACATTATCATTATGAAATAACAGCACTAGCTAACAATGTACAAAAATATACCCAACAGTCAACTTACAAATAAGTAAAGCACAATAAAATATGTTCACCTTCTTAACATCTGACTTCTGACCAACCTTCCCTGATGATGGCAGAGTAGTGACTGTAAAATTGTTTGGATCTTCGCAGTCACGGATTTTGGATTCCTTTATCAGTGAGTCTAGTTTTTTCTTTGCTATATTCTCCACTCTCTTCCTATTAGCAGATGCCTACAAACAAAACAGAATCAATAAACAAAGTAGTGATGAAAAAGTCTTAGAAAGAAAGAAAGAAGGACTATCTGCATGATTTACTCTATAATTAGTACTAACTACTCTGGAGAATGCCAAAAAACTAGCAACTTCTTCGTTTGCATATTGTTAAGCAATGACCCAACAGAAGATATGCAGATATCAATTAATGAGTTAAGGATATATATGCAGAATCGAAGTCTCTCCCACACGGTATGGGTTTATGGAAAGCATTCATATGCCATGTAAAGGCGGAAAGGGTGAAAGTAATAGACGAGCAATAAAAAGCATATATATACTCGAATGGTCACTTAACTTACATCTCCATTCATTAATTTACAATCATCATCAATCTCATCAGCACTGTCCTCATCGGACACGTCACCTTCCTCTGCATCATCACTAATATTGGCTGGAAGCTTCTTCCCCTAGAACATGCAATGTTTGCACAGACAGGTTAAAATGCAGCTCTTGCTATGACAGAAAAAAAGTGGCATCACCCATGAGAAAAGCAATAGTAATTCCTATGAAGAGGGAAATGATAACAATATAAGCAAACACTAAGGTTTAGCGTGTGCAAAGATCCTAATGCAGGATTCTGGATCAGCAACAAGAAAGAACAGGAAAGAATGAAGTGGGAAAAAATGCAAGATATGACATTTTCTAATTTATGGGAGAATGATCAAACATTTAGTACAGAAATCTGTAAATTCTGCATAAAACTTAAGTGAATAGAAAAAGCCAAGAACTTACACAAAGAACCAGACAGATTTTTTTTTTTTTTTTTTTTATAACCAAGGCATTATCACAGCTATTAGGAGCTTTAATGACTATTTCACGGTATAGACAGCTTGTAGAGAACTTCTTTAGTAAAAGCCCACACCAGAAAACTCTTGGTGGTCAGTGACAAAAGCAACAGTAAACTTTCCACTAAAACACTAGGTTGCATGACACAGCAGTATCTGCATAGTCCTCTTATAAGAGGCAGAATTCATAATATTTACAAAAAAAAGGAGGAAAGAAGCAAAAACAAATAGGTTTTTACCTTAACCAGTATCTTCCCTCTAAGACTTGCTGGTGAAGGGAGCTTGGTAGGATCTTCACTGTGCACTGAAGACAAATCCAGTTTGTCTCCCAGTATTTCTGTAAGATACTGAGCCATCTTCTTCTGCTGAACGACACTGCAATGGTTCTCAATGGACAAGATAACGGGGTACCTGGTAGTGACAGAAGCAAGTATCGTCATAATTAAATTTCTGCATTCTAACTTGATGCTTTTTTCCCCAGAACATTACAACTACACTACCAAGTCTTGATGTCCACTTTCCACCAGAATTTAACAAGCCAATCTTGAGCAAAACGCAGTCAGTGCTTTCAGTTCTTGTCCCTGAACTGTCCCTCATGCTTATTTTTTTTTTAAAGGAGATAGATTAACACAAACATTTTGACTCTTGAGAGGTTGATAGTACTGCCAGCTTTACAAAATTTCTTATTTTATAATTCTTGATCTTCTGAGCAACATGCATGTAAAGAAAAATCCTGTTTCTCTTGGGCAGTCTGCTTTTTCCACAATTAGGCTCCCATCTCTTTGTACTTTTTTGTTGCCTGACTTGCCACCTATCTTCGGAGCAACCATCCGAGTATGATCTTGGCATCACTGAACACACTTCCAGAGATAGATGCCTGAACTGTCAGATATTTGCTAAAAATATTCGCTGTCAAAACACGTTACAGTCTCCTCTCTTTTAGGGTTGGGATAAAGGGAGCCACACAACTATCTACACAGTGTCCCCTACTCAGTCAATTCTGCCTTGTTACTTCTTTCTGCAGGCTTTCTCCTCATAGAAAGTAATTTAGAATTTGAATGCCTGGCTGATTTATGCAGTAATAGGCTAGGTTTTCAAATTACTGCCTTTACAAGTATGTCTAAGAGCACAGTTTATACTACAGTTTATAACATAAAGCTTATATGAGACTCAGAAGGTGGTAGCCCAAATACATACTCATTCTTGACAAAGGCGTATCTGTTGATAGTTTCAATTACATCTTTGAAGAGAATTTTGGAAGTTAAAGTATATCCATGGTGGACAATTGGTTCACCATCTGGCCCATCCCAGCAGTCAACTGCAGAATAGAAACAACGACACCCATCAGACTGTTAACATCTGTAGCTGTATAGAAGACATGGAAGACCTTGAGATCCTACTGTCCCCTTCAGGAATCCAATACCACATAGATATACGTTCATTCTCACTCTTCATCCATATCTATCACTGGACTTCCTCATGTCCTTTCTCTGAAGAAATTTCATGGTCTTGAAATTCTACTGTGAATAGATGCTCCCATTAACTGAGAAAGTCCCAAGAAAACAGATCTCCTTTAACAAGTGCTAATGATTATTATTACAGGAAGAATTGTGGAAACACTTCGAGGGTCAGGGCACTACAGACAGGTACTGCCTCTGAAAGACGCTCTACAATTCAGAAGGGATTTCACAGCAAGGCTCATTGGTGAGTGGCAGATATTTTGCATATGACTTTATTTCCCTTAACAGAAATACCAGTTCCCCTGCTCTCCCTAGTCAGAACTCTCTCTTATTTGCCAAATCAGTAGCAATATGCTTAAAATAATTACATACACCAATAGATTATACTGAATGGGAGTATCCTCTCTCTAAAAAATTTTACCATCGTTTATACAAGCAAGACTGCTTTTCCTATGTCTTATTCCCATATTCAATAAAATGTATCTGTTATATGACACTGTTTTTCTGCTGTTGCTTGTGACGTGAAAACAACATTTTAACTAGGCTTTTTCCTTTAACTAATTACTGTGTCTTCTGCAGAAACCATGATTCTTCCTTTATAGAGGAGAGCCAAAGCTATGGAGACTATGATCTTTACCTTCTACACAACGACAGCCAGATTGTAACACCCATGCATACATGTCCATCCTAGATTGAGACATCAGTTGATCCCCTGTGAGGTAGGTATTATGTGAAGAGGTAATGAAATAGTGACTCAAAGGATAACTCATGTCCTGATTCACTTGGTAGTGTTCTGGGTTGAATATGTCCCCTGATGGACTCCGCATGTAATTGGTGAAACCTGCAAATGAATAATACGACAGATGATGCATTTTTATCCACTTGGTTGCTGTAACCTTCCTAGAGACCAGCACCAAAATGCATCCCTACATTCACCAACATGTTCATGAACATGTGAAGCAAAATGAACAAAAGAATAACACTATATCTCAAAAATTTATCACAATGAGCATCTGTGATATTTGGTTTGGAGAACTACTGTTTCCAAACCCTTAACAAATTTCTAGGGAATATCAATTTCCTAGAAGAACCTTTAGGATCTTCAGCAAAATTACAGATATGCCAAAAAAAAAAAAAAAAAAGAAAAGAGGAAAATATCATTCTTTATACCTTTATACGACAGGATTAATGTTAAAAGATGCAAACAAATGTGTTATTCTCACAACCATTTAATCTCTGTTATCCCTCTCAACAGCTACACCAATCGTCTTACCATCAATCCCCAAAGCTCCCTCCTTCTTGTTCTCCAAGCACGGTTCAAACTTGCTGACAATTTCCAGGCAGTGCTCCTTAGTCACGCTGGTCATCTATAAAAGCAGCAAAAATTAAGTGAAGAACTTGTTAACTAGCAAATGCAGTTTCTCCTAGCTCTGTATACAGTTCAACAACCATCCAGATTATCCATACTGGCACTAGGATTTCCAATTACCCAGCGAGATTCTCACTCCTGCCAATCAGTGTCAGGTCAGATAAGAACTAAATTGCTCGGTGAAAAGATTCTGTCCTATTGGCAGCTGCCCGATCACAGCCAAAAAAACACAGTCAGAGCTGTGCTTTGTAGGTCAAATCTGATTAGAGTGTTGTTAAGCACACAAAGTATCCAAATAGAACAGGTTTTGTCACAAACCAAGAGGATTTCTTCTACTGTAGGATTAAAGGACTCATTTGCATTGTCAAAGGGTTTTTACCTCAGAATAAAACAACAAAATGGTGGTACTTTATGCAATAGAAAAATCATTTATAACTAGCAAGGTAGGAGGGAGTCAGGAGATACTGCTTTCAGAAAGCTCCTTGAGAAAATCGGCTGACTTCACAATTGCTTTACATTCTAAGTCAGAAAGGAAAATATGTGTTTAGAGATGTTAGGAATAAAAAAAAAATACCATGCCTTTGTTAAAACTGAATTATAAAAGCATTGCAATACAAACACTATTTAATTTAAGAGTATTTAATACTCCTGGCATTTATTATTCATTTTTAATTTAATTATTGCTGCTGTTATTTAATATTCCTGTCCTGAGTGGTCCAACAAGACCTTTCCATCAGACACTGTACATGGCACATATGAAATTCAGACCTTGTTGCCAGAGGGGTTTACCTTTAAATTAGCTGAACTGATGAAGGTTGACACCATCATTTAGCAGAACATAAACCACCAGCATATTTGCTACAAGGCCAATGTCTTTTGGGGTAGTAATTTAAAACCGAATAAAAGAGGAAGAAAAGAACCTAACACTCTTCCCAACTGCATCTCTGTAACAACATTGCCACAACATTGTTTAGTTCTGCTTTGCTGATAACCTTCAAACCAACAAAATGAACGCTCGCTTTCCCTGTGCGTATTAGATGAGAAAGAAGAAGCCCTACAGAAATGCATTATCCTTGTTGGTGATTAAATGAGCTAGTTTGTGTCCTGTGGCTAATGTTCATTTTCCTCTCTCATCAGGAAGATCAATAGACCAATGAAATGGAAACGCATCCTACTTATTTAAAATGATGAGTGCAGGAGAAAGGTGACTTTTTTATTCATTCGTTTCTTAGACAACTCTTGAAACTCTGATGTAGATTTATGACTACAGGCATGCACTTTCAAAAAAAAAAAAAAAATCGTGAGAGGGAAGAGGCAAAGACAAGCCAATGCACTTTTTCACTAGCTGACTGCACTTTGCCATCCTTTTTTTTCCCCCCTCACTTCAGAAATTTCTGCGTGTGTCTAGATATGAGCTCATAGGACTATAAAAGAACCCAGGTTGGAAGGAACTTCATCTCGTTCAAAATCCAGCTCAAAGCAGGGTCGGCCATCAGGTCACAGCAGGCCACCGAGTGCTCTATCCTGCCTGGTCTTCGAAACTTTTGAGGGCAGAGCCTCTCTGGGCAACCTGTTCCACTGGCTGAAGTCCTCATGATCCAGGTACTTCTCATCTTACCATTTTCTAGACTGCCAAGTTATTACCATGAACCAGAAAGATGCAAGCTTGTCCTGACAAGAGGTGTTTATAACAGAAACGCAGGAGTAAAACTGCTCATTTTGAGGTAGCTTGATTCCAAAGATTCTTGTTTCCATAAAGGTTTCCATCTATGATGCAGGAATAAATGCAAAAAGAAGAAACCTTTACTTTATTCCACTAAATAAAGAATATATCAAGCCTGGTTTCCTTTTTGGAAAAACGTATACGAGCTGTCAGAGAACACGCTACCATGACTTCTATGTGCAGCATTGACTGATGGACACAATTACCGATGTGACTGAAGTAGGCTAGACCCCTAGTTCAGTACAGAGACTCAAGAGAGCATTTACTGCAACACAGTAATAGTTTGTTGGCATTTAGCTGAATGTGCATGCACAACCTTAAGCACCGTCCATAAGTGCACTTCAATATTTGCAGAGTAAAGCTCAAAGCTTTGAATTAGTGTCTCTGAAGAGCAGTATGTCACAGGTTCATGAGCAACTTTGGATATAATGCTTATCATTATCTACTATTATTATCTACTGGCCCCTGTATAATAGCACGTTAGCTGGTTTGGTAGACTAAAATTATTGTGCCTCTTTCAGATGGGTGCAAAAAGAAAATAGAGTCTTTAAGGTCTGCTCCAGCAAGGAAGTGTTCAGCCAAGAGAATACCTACCATGCACTAGCATGTAGCCTCAAAATGTATTTAAAACATGGGCAACTATCAGTAGCACTTCAGAAAACAGAATCTTCCACTTTACAATTTGAGATGGTACTTAAGTACATAACTGAGAAAGGGACATAATAAATTCAGTGCCTTGCTATGAGCTACACATTCATAGTCAAAAGCAAAGTCACAGAGAGCATCTTTGGAACAAGCTAATGAATAATGAATAATAAGACAGCAGATATTGATGTGATTTTTCTAAAAGAACACGTAAGAAAATGTAACTGCAGAGACCATGTTCAGAGACACAATAAAAGACCCTACAGGAGAAAGAGGTAGTGAGAGCAGAGTGATTCAAGAAATAGTCATACCAGCCCACAAGATTAAAATCTAATTGTTTCATTCACACTCTCCTGAGCGAAATAAAAGTAGCTGCTCACTTTTCATATATATGACTGCAGTTCCCTCTCCTATAGCAACACATCCCCAAAGGCAAACAGAAAGATAATATCGGAGAAGCCACCAGCTCACTAATTACAGATCTTACCATGATGCCCAATTATAGAGCTTTTGTTTGTCTGTCTTTCTCCCTTCCCAGTACAGCTTATCTCCTCCAGTAAGAACCATCAGAGAATATGCCAAGGATATCTAGGCAATAGGACTTTTCTCTTACATATTTAAAAAAAAATAATAAAATGCAAGCAGTCAGTACATCTTAAATGGATTTTCTTAATCATGAAAAGTACAAAAGCCACTGCAAAAAAAAAAACCCAAAGAAACAATAAAACCTCCAAACTCAGCCAAAACCCACCCAAGCCACAAAATCCACAAAGAACTCCCCTGCTTAAAAATGAAATAAGAAGCTTTATTTAGAACCCAGTATCTTCCCATTTTACCAACTTTTATTATTAGAGGACGTTAAAATACTGAACTCAGAGAGAATATTGTCACTATTCTCACTCAGTATTACCAGAGTTTTTCTGTACAGGTTTGGACTAGCCTTACGATTATTTGTATGATGTTATTATAGCATAAGGTGCCAAAAATTGTTTTAATTTCAAGGAGCCTTTATCTACTTCCCTCTGAAGTTCCCTCTCTTTGCTTGAAAGCGAAAAAGGAAAAGGCCACTTGTAAATGATGCTTTGGGATATCAATGTTTCAGGTTTCTGGTATCCACACTCAGACTCTAAGTCTCTTCTTGAGTTTGTCCTACCTTTTGCTCAATCTCAAGAAAGCGTCTCAAGTCATCTGTATCTAGGTAGTCCTTGTGGTTGCTGTAGGTAAGCATTAGCAGGTACAAATCACGCCGTGTTGACATCATCTTGTAGAAGGCACAGAATTCATCAAAGCCCAGCACGCCCTGGTTATCATCCGTATCAGCCTCCTGCATTACACAACAGCACGACCATGAGACATCCAGCTGCACAGTGATGGTCTTAAGACACTTGAAACAAACTCCTGAATCGGAATAAAGCTTCATTGGTTGGATGCAGCCTGATGATATTTTAGGTACAGTAGTTCAGCTACAGAATAAGTGTAAGTCTGCAATCTCTTCTTAAGTACATATAGAAAGAGTTTTTTATAACATTACCACAGGTTCTCCTCTTTTCTCTAAGCAAACCTTGCACTTGGACTCTATGGTTTAAGAAACAATACATTTGCATTTCTTACCTTAAACATCTGTTTGACTTTTTGTCTGGGTAGGTTCACATTCAGCTTGTGCATTAGTTGCAGTACTTCATTAATACTCAAACTTCCATCACCATTTTTGTCTGCCTCATCAAAAGTCTGCTTCAACCACATTGACCAGGAGTTAAGGAAGTGTATGGAATATCTAGGGATATTATTAAATGTTACTGAGACTTAAAACTGCACTGCTGAGATGCCCTCTTTCAGATAACATAGAAGGATATTGGTCTCTGGTCCTCTGACGTTTTGACAGGCTGTCTTCATCACTGATCCCTGCCATCAGATATTTCAGTCCTGTGATCCAGGTGCGTGCTTCCTCTCCACTGGAAGATACTAGATCAAGAGATTCCATATGGTCTCCATAGTAGATGCTGAAGCAGCAGTTGGGATCAAAACTGCCATCAGCATAGCGCTGAAAGATCTCCGATTGCTTCCCCTCACACACCTCCCGAATAGAGTCGATAGAGACTGGAAGGATAAAGCATGTGGCTCATTAGTGACTGAGGGTGGAAGAATATTCATGCAGGCAGGTTTACAGTAAGACTGCAAAGAAAGGGAATCCCTTTCTCTTTGCTTGAAGCAAATAAATCACCTCCTTGGATCCCACTGCTGAATGACATGGCTACTTGGCCAAAGACACAATAGGTGACCATACCTTACAATGCAAACAGAGAGATAAAGCATCTAGAACAAAATTAGTCTAAGCAAGCACCACACTTTATAGCCTGAGAAGACAGAGGCATGAGACAAACTGCATACTAATGTAATAGCATCGTATTTTTAGCTTCTACTTTCTTAAGACTATGCAATCAGTATTTTTAGTTTATTAACAGCTTCTGCCAAGTACAAGCAAATCAGAACTTTTTCTTATTGGCCTAGATGTGATCCACTGTAAACAGAACGTACATAATGTATTCATGGACAATCCGTATGAAAACTAAGGAAATGACAAAAAGAACTATTATTCCCATTTCACAAATCAGACACTGTGTTCTGGAGAAAATGATTAAATACATTATAAACCTTGAGTTTAGTGAATTGTCAGAAGTCACACAAACAAGGCAGTAAGAGTGGTGGGATCAGAAATTTCAAGACTCAGCCTTAAGTTTAACCATAAAACCAGTACACTCCTTAAAATATTTTTAAACTTACATCCCCTTTAGACAACAAAACCATGAATCATGTTCAGAGATAAAGATAAAACCAGTATGTGATTGCTTTATAAATGGAAAACTGTAAGAACAACTCTGTCCCCTCAGCTTCTGGTGTCTTCTTCCTCCCACTGGCACAATTGTTACCAGACATCTTGTCTTCCCTGTGCTGTTCCCTTGCCAATGCAGTTTCACACATCTCTCTAAACAGCTTCTATTAAATAAATGGTTGAACCCTACCATATTCCTGGTTGCAACTTGTGACTATGAAATAATAACTGCTTCTCAAACAGTTTCTTTGGAGTGCACAAGTTAATAGAAGGAAATAATTGCAAATAAGCTGAACATTATGACAACCTCCTCCTCCTGCTCTAGATCAGACAGACAGAACAGAGAATGCAGATCTCTGCATCTTGAAAAAGGAGAGCTGATTGTGAACTTTATTATTATTACTTCAAGAGCAAAAGGGATTGCTTAAAATCTGCCTCCACAAACACAGGGAACTGATATACATTTGACCTATGCGGATACTTCTGACAGTTACAAAAAAAACCCACACAAACCTCTAAATTGCTCTTTAATCATATGGTACCTAACTAACTAAGCTATAGGGATGGAAAAGTGACAGATAATCCTGCAGAAAAAATTTCAAAAAGGGCCCAAAATTGAGATTGCAAGTTTTCCGGAGTTTCTCCACAACTCATTTCTGAGCTGTTACACTACTGCAGCCTGCACAGCTAACAGCAATTTAATATTCATAAACTACTAATCTTCCTGAAACCATATACAGCCTTTAAGGCTATGTACAACGTTAATATGCCTCTTGATCACCTGCAAATGGAAATTAAATCCATCGTGCTGACTTGTCAATAAAAGAGCAAGACCCTAGGATGGGTCAGAAAAAGGACTCTGCGTTTGACACTCACTTTTGGCTTTCTCATTCTTCCGAGATGGTCTCCAGCGAATACACGACTTGTGTTCATCCAAGTAATAAAAGCGCACCAGGCCTTTGGAGCTGCCGCGGAGTTTGATCATCTGCGTACCAGCTTGCATCAAACTCATACATCTTTCCACTGGAGAAAGAAATAAGGTGATACCAGTAAGTCAGACTTTGCTCCTAAAGTCTAATGACACCAGACTGACGCAGCCAAGCAACTCAAGGTAGTCATGCACTGCTTATATTAACATTTATAGTGACTTTAAAAACCCTTAGGGTAACAATATGTAACAAAAATGCACAACTTCTAAACCCCTAAAATTTCTCCTTAAGAAAAAGGTCGCAGTTTCATACTTAGTTATACACACGTTCTGATCTCAGTTGGTTATTTACGCTTCAGAGGTACCATGGTCTTTGAGGAGTTCTGGGAGTTGCTGTACATGTGTGGAGGAGTCAGAGTATTTCAGCACATGAGGGCAGAATGGAATCAGTTGAACATCTTTAGATTTGGATCAGAATTGTCAAAACATTCATGACCCAGCCTGATATGGCTCCAGGTAATGTCACACTGTTTGCCACTAGTCAGTTCGTTTAAAGAAGTCAGAAGCCCAGCAAAACACATCTTGGCTGAGCTCTGCTCTGTTAACAGGTTCTGACACAATGCATCCTCACTGTGTGCTTCAAAACTACCACTCATTAAATACTATACGGAGAGGAAAACAGCTTTCGGAGCCTTATTTCCCTCAGGGTCCCTGGAACACGCAACACGCTTGTGAGCCTAGAGTAACCCCTCCGATGTATATATTCTATAAGGGCAACCTGTTCCAAAACAAAGCAGCTGTCCCATATGCAGAGGACTCCCGCACCTGACAGACATTCAGCACAGCAAATCCCAGGAAGCAGTAATAATTCCCACATTTTTTAAAAGTCTCAGCAGAATTTTTTTTTTTCATCTGTAGTTTGCTCATCAATAGACAAACCAAAGAACTGTCAGGCTCCACTTTTCTCTGTGAGGAATACTGTGTCTCAGTTTACACAGGAGGCATCCAATCCTTTAAAAATGAATATACCCAGTTTGGTGTAAAGGGAATTCTGCGCAGCTCAAAGGACTTGGAATGAGAAGGCACTTTGAAAATGCTGCATATAAACTGCACAATTGATTTCCGCGAGCCTGAAGAAGCTCCATGAGCGTTTGCCGAACAACTCTCACAACAAAAGCTCCCAGAATGCCACTTCTGGCCCTGAAGACATTCCATAAGTAATACTCTAATCAGAGCAGCTCTGACATTCACTGTTGCCTGCAAAAAAAGCTGGTTTTGCTCCTCAGATACCTATGCTAAAGGAGTGCATTTGTAGAAATTCCAATTTGACATATTGCCTCAGGAATCAAACATATTGCTATTAATAACCACTCTATGGCTCCCAGTGGAGGCAAACAATATATGCAGAGTACATTCTTCCCTTTATAACACGAACACAGGGAGGAAGATTCAAGTTCAGTTTTCTCTTACATAAAACCTGGTCTGTTCTTTGCTGGATGGATTCTACTCTCCACTGTCCCCCCTCAAAAAAGAGAAAAAAGGGGAACCCCCCCTACCCCATCACACACAAACACACAGAAACCACAATATTGCCCTGCAGTGACTGGCACGGTCAGGAGTTCACCTGGGATATTCCCAGCCTCCAGCGTTCACAGATGAGACCCAGTGGGTAGAATCACATCATTATGTCAGGATCCAGCCCAAATACAGACCTTACCCGAGTCTATGTCCATTAATTTTCATTTGTTTTTACATTCCTACATATTTTTAAGCCATTTTATTATTACTAAGGCACAAACTTTCTCCCACTTATTTGCTCTCACCGACTCAAGTCTCTCACTATTCTTCCCATTAGAAAAGAATCTTTAAAATAACTTTGAAAGAGAAAAGTTCCATTTTATTCTGACGAGAACAGTTGGGACAGTGCTTGCTGCATACAAGGCAGAATTTAAGACCCAGCCTATCATTAGAGCATTCAATCATTAGTGAAGGAGATGTTAATGGGAGAAAAGACACTAAATCCTGTGGAAAGTAGAGGGCTGAATTTGAGGTCGGTCTGTCACCTTTCCATCTCTCCCAGCTGAGACTAAATCGGCCACCTGGATACAGGGGCAGGATGGCATTTCTGAGCCTCTGCAAGAATTCCGATCTGTACCTCTGACTTCCTCATTAAAAAAGATCTTTGCTTGGTGAAAGTGGCAAACAAGTAGGACAGAGTAAGGGGTGATTTTATCAAGGCCACTGAGGATACTTTACTGGAGATGAGAGGCACAAAGACAGCAATTAAGATGCTTTTCCTGAACAGGAACATTGCCCAGACCTAGGCACTGCCAGGTAGGTTTGCTGCTTTTATCACCAATGAAAGAGAAAGGCTGATATGAATCAAAGAAACCTTTCTCAGTTAGCTAGTGAAGCTCAAGTATTTTGCCATAGAAAATGAGTATTTAGAACAAATTTCCAGAAGAATCAAGTGATATAGCTATGGAAGAAGACAACAGACATATTTTTAAACAGTAATTACAAAGACTGAAAACTAAACAAACATTATATTGAAAAAAAATCAAAGAATTGAGAGTTTTTACAGATCATGACAACTAAGACCAGACAGACAAATTATCTGAGTGTGTAGAAGGAAAAGGACAGAAAATTTCTGAAGGTCAGCACATGCCAAGTTTTGCAACATTGCATTTGTATTTCTGTTGTAAGGAAAATAAATTAAAAATGTAATTCAGAGGCTCTTGAAAAGCAATATAACTGCACTATCAACCAGTAAAACAGTAAAATAACACAAGACTAGGGCTGTTTGTCACTTTCTTTTTCTCTACCCCCAATACTGCTAGATAAAACTGTCTCTAAACAAGACTTAAACATAAAAACTTTAAAAATGCTACTGTATTTTGTATTACAGTGTCAGGTATTCAGTCAGTGGCTTACCAATATGACCAATTTTCCATCTTGGAGAAGCTACGATGCTGCCACCAACCCAGAAAAACTCTTCAGCCAGGTGGGCAATCGAGAACTTACTTCGAAGCAAAGGAGATTTTGAGGCATCCATAACTGAGACAAATGGCAGCTTTAAAAATGAGCACAAGCTCTGCAGGCCTTACCCGTGATCAAAATTCAGTAGTTGCAAGTTTTCAACTTAATAGCATAGAAATATTATTAGGAAAAAACACTTCAAGATAATCGATGATTTCAAAAATCCAGTGGTATTATTTTTCAGCTTGTTGCAGAACCGTTAGCACTGTAAACTTAGGTCTTCTCCCACATCCAACTTTAAACTAAAAAATACCAGCAAAATCCTTCTTATTCTGTGTGAGGTACCATGTGTCTGTCCTGGAGGACGAGACGGGTCACAGTTCAGCATTTTTAGGATGATGCATGATGGACGCAGACAGTCCTGGAGGGCAAGACAGGCCCAGGTGGCTGTTTCTGGCAGATGGAGGAGCCTCCGGACGATCCTCCGTTTCCGATTGCTACATCCCAGCCTCCGAGCAGCCACCAAGATGTTTTATCAATTCCTGGCTGGATTCTGCATGCGGCTTCCTCCTCCTGAGGAGCAGTTACAGAGGTGCCCCTTGTGTCCCAGCAAACCTGCAAGCCCCACTCTTCCTGAGGGCTCTCCTTGCTATTCCAAACACACCAATATTGTCCGTTGCTGTAAATAAACACAAAGATGACAGAGCATAGCCCATTCCCCTCTGCACCCTTGCTTTTCACTGCAAATCTCGCCAGGTGCTTAAGCTCCTCACTCTCATTCCAGGTCTGTGAAAAAAAGACATTTTCTTCCCATACAGCTCTTCAAAAATCGTTGTACACATCTTCATCTCTTCAAAAATCACTGTGCATGTCTTCATCCTTTCTCAGAAGATTCTCCTCAATATTTTAAAAGGCATCTCTGACAAAGGGAAGATCTCTTCTCTCCAAGCAGAAAAAAAATAGATACAATGCAAACCCAGCAACACATGTCTGCTTGAAATCCTAAATCCACTATAAGCATTAATCCTAAAGCTGCAGTTCTGGCCTATCCAGTGAAGGGATTAAGGTGACACGTGTTATGGCCATAGAAAATAAGAAGGTTAAAAGACAACAACAACAAAATCATTTATTTTCCACTTAAATTAGCTTGTGACCTCACAGCTCATTTGGAGGCAAGCAAGATGCTTCGGATAGCAGCCAGCCACACTGCAGAACTAGTGCTGTTCATGGAAGCCAGGAGCACTCAGAGTGCCTCAAAACTACAGGAGATCAAAGCAGGCAAGTATGAATTTTTAAAAAGCATGACATGACTATCGCACTCCCTTTGAAATGCACGCAGTAAACTCCAAACGTGTAAATCTAACATTTATGTTATCACACCTCTGAATCTACAGTAAATTGGAGGTATAACGTGCAGTTGTTCTCGCTATCTGTGATCCATACAAGCGCCCTAACACGTTTCTAGGTTGTTCAGTTAAACACAAATTGCTCGCAAAAAGACACATTTGTTAAACACATCCCACTTCTCCTTTCACAGTTTGAAAGAACTTTAATTTTAAAAATCATTACCTCTCAGATAGAAATCATTTACTCCACTATCTATGTCCAATGTTCTCATATTAACCTGGCCTCAGAGGTGAATCATAAAGTTACCCAAAAGAAAAGCCAAGTTGGACTGGGGGTAAAAAACAGTGATACGGCTGCAACGTGCCCCTCGCCGCTTCTGCTGCTCGCACACACACACACGAGCCTTCTATTCTCTTAATGCATCTTTCAAGAGCAATACAGTGAGATGATGGCAAACTACTTAGTCCTAAAATGGGGAGAACAACATTGCTGTGTCTCACAAAGAGGGAGATAGAACTAAACTCCAGGGCTCAAATACAAGAAGCCAGTTACTGCAAACGTTTGCTCTAACCCGAAAGAGCTGCGGTTGTTCAGCCACCCTTCCCATCCTGATGGCACTTTCCTTCTCAATGCCACGGATTGTATGCAGTCTTCCAGGTTACACCTGCAAACATATTTCACTCTGTGCCAAGCAGCAAAATGCACTGCCTTTAAAATTCAATACTAATTTTGCAAAGACACCCTAGATTCTGCATTGACCATTTATGTG